CCCTAGCCGCTTGAGCCACAGGCACCAAGCCGAGACAGAGTCTTAAGCTCTCGCCCTGGGTAGAGTGCCATAGCATCATAGCTCACAACAATCTCAAACCCTGGCTCTAATGATCCTCTTGCCTCAGTTTTTCGATTTTTTTTAGGAGACACAGGCTCTCACTTTTGCTCAGGCTGGTCTCAAACTCACGAGCTCAAGCAATCCATCCACCTTGGCATCCCAGAGTGCTAGGATTACAGGCATGAGCCACCGCACCCGGCCCATATATTCTTTTTTTCACTCTTTTATTTTGATCAATATAATGTTAAGTGTGCTGCAGAAGTTTAACTATAGGTTCAAGTGTGCCCTGAGATAAAAAAGGTTGAAGAACACTGTTCTAGAAACATGTCAAACAGCACAGCCAATTTAAAAAGTTAATGTAAGGTTAGGGATAAAAACCCACCTTCAGGGTAAAATGAACATTATTCTGGTGCAAGTACAATAAAAGCCCTAAACTCAGCATTTTACCATTCACCCATGAAACTTACACCCAACATTTTGAAATAAAAATTATTAAAAAAAAAAACAAACAAGGCCAGTTGCAGTGGTTCATGCCTGTAATCCCAGCATTCTGGGAGGCCGAGGCAGGTGCATTGCCTGAGCTCAGGAGTTCAAGACCAGCTTGACCAAGAGTCAGACTTTGTTTCCAAAAATAGCTGGGCCTTTTATATATGTCATATATATAAAAAAAAAGAAAAAGAAAAGAACGCTGATGTTTAGGCACACATAACTGGCACAATGAAGAAAAATTAATTCCCTTCCACTGAATGCCCTGATGATAATAACTACCAGAGCTACATACACATGAGCTCTCAAAGACCTGATAGACAATGTTACAAGTTTATTACCACTAAACTAAAATAACACATTTTGTTTTAAAATCAATACCTTTTACATTTTTCCGTGGTTTGGAGGATTTCTTCTCCTTTAAAGTGTGATGTTTAGTAGACTTTTGTTTTCTTTTCTCTTCTTCAGCAAGAACTTTCTGAAGCAAATGAGCAAAAAAATCGAAGTCAAAAGGACGCTTTTCCTCTGTTTAAAAAAAAGGAAAAGAACTTTCAAGTTTTTGTTTTAAAAACACTACTTCTAACTTTTATTTAAGTATCATAACATAAAAGCAAATGGGCTTTTCTTTCAGCAGAATGGGTAAATAAGCACACAATAGAACACCACTCAGCAATAAAAATAATAAATTAGTTTTTTTTAAACAGCAACAAACTACTAATACAAGCAATAATATGGATGAATCTCAAAAACAAGGTGAAAGAAATTGCATATGAAAAAATGTATACTGTACAATTCCAAGAATCAGATATTCTAGAACATACTAAACTGATCTGTGATGGTTCAAATGAAAATAGTGGTTGCTTTGAGCTAAAAGGACAGCATCTGATTGATTAGAAAAGGAAACATTTTCATCTGAAGTGATGAAAATGTTCCCATATATTGTTTAGGGAGAGTAGGTACACAAGTATATTCTTTATCAAAACTCAAATTATACTTTGAACTATGTGTAAATATGTATCAACTTTTTAAAATGACAAAGATGGCTAGGGAAGTTCTCAAAATGCCCGTCGCTACCATATGGCCTACCTTTACCGCAAACACTTCACCATTTACTCTTCCTAATTGAGCAAAGTGGAAATAAATGAATGTTAATCAAGAACACTCACTGAATACTCAATCGAAGGCACTAGTATCAAAAAAAAAACAACTATCAGTAAGCAAACCAAGAATGAATTTAGTACAGGAGTCAAATCTTCGTACAAGCTAAACTTACAGTCAATGTTGAGAAAATGATGCTCTAAGCTGGGCTCAGTGGCTCACTCCTATAATCCTAGCCCTCTGAGAGGCCCAGACAGGTGGATTGCTTGAGTTCCCAGATTCAAGACCAGCCTGAGCCAGAGCCGAGACCCCCATCTCTACTAAAAATACAAAAACCTGAGGCAACTCTCCCAAGAATTGGCGATTGCTCTATGATGCCATAGCACTCTACCCAGAGTGATAGCTTGAGACTTTGTCTCAAAAAAAAAAAAGAAAAAAAGAAAATGATACTCTATATACAGAAGCCAAAGACTGGTTTGATTATAAGATGGCCTCAGAAAAGGAAGTATATAGTAAATTAACAACACTCTCAGGAAGCCAAATCCAAATCTGGAATTCCTAAGGCTCTGTTCTGCTATAGACCAAGACCTCATCTGTTCTGACTTTCCACAACAATGATTATGAAAGACACACTTAGCATTCAAAGAATCCATAAAGGCTCTCCACACGGTTCCCTGAGAAATTCAAAACATAAGTTCCCCAAAAACTTATGTAGGTGTTTTTATTGTGTGTTTTGTTATTTCACTACAGCACCCAAAATGAGCAAGGTTTTGTGTTGTTTTTTTTTTTTTTTTTTTTGAGACAGAGTCTCACTATGTTGCCCTGAGTAGAGTACTGTGGCATCACAGCTCACAGCAACCTCAAACTCTTGGGCTTAAGCAATTCTCTTGCCTCAGCTTCCCAAGTAGCTGGAACTACAGGCACCCACCACAACACAGGCTATTTTTTTGTTGCAACGGTCATTGCTGTTTTAGCTGGCCCAGGCCAGGTTCAAACCCGCCAGCCTCGGTTTATGTGGCTGGAGCCCTACCAACTGAGCTACGGGCACCGTCCAAAATGAGTGTTTTCAAACTGAGTTTACTATGTTGCCAAGCCAGCCTTGACCTCCTGGAATCAAGGGATCCTTTAGCCCCGGGGTGACCAACCTGTGGTACCTGAACTGCTTGCAGCCCAGGATGGCTTTGAAGGCAGCCTAATACTAAGCTTACTTAAAACATTATGAGATTTTTTTGTGATTTTCTCACAAAAATCACAATTTTTTTTAGGGATTTCTTTGTGATTCCTTTGTGATCAAGAGATCCTTTAGCCCAGGGGTGACCAACCTGTGGTACCGGGACTGCTTGCAGCCCAGGACAGCTTTGAAGGCAGCCTAATACTAAGCTTACTTAAAACATTATGAGATTTTTTTTGTGATTTTCTAGTGGAACTCAAATTACACAGTTCTCAAGCATGAACATTGTAGACGACAATGTTGTCTCACAGTATCATGTAAAATATACATACGCTCTATTTATATGCACACAAGGCTTCAGTTTTATAGCAGTGTTCCACTTCTAGTGTGTTATGTGTTATCTTCCAAGTACAGTCAAATTGACACTATCAGAATTTACATGTGTTCACCATGACTTGGCAAGGCAGTGATTGTCAATAATATTTTAACCTACCACTGCAATGTTAGGTGCATAATGTTACTTAAAAGTCAGGTGAGCATTCTTTTTTTTTTTTTTTTTAACAGTCTCAGCTCAGCGCCTGTGGCTCAGGTGGCTGGGGCACCAGCCACGTGCACCTAGGGTGGCGGGTTCAAATCCGGCCCAGGCCCGCCAGACAGCAACGACGGCTGCAACCAAAAAAAAAAATGGCCGGGCGTTGTGGCAGGCGACTGTGGTCCCGGCTACTTGGGAGGCTGAGGCAGGAGACTCACTTGACCCCAGAAGTTGGAGGTTGCTGTGAGCTGTGATGCTATAGCACTCTACCCAGGGGACAGCTTGAGGCTCTGTCTCAAAAAAAAAAAAGTCTCACTCTTCTTCCCTGGATAGACTGCCAACCTGAGTAGAATGCCCTGGCATCATCATAGCTCACAGAAACCTCAAACTCTTGAGCATGAACAATACTCTTGCCTCAACCTCCCAAGTAGCTGGGACTACTGGTGTGAGCCACTACAGCAGCTCATTTTTCTATTTTTATTAGAGACAGGGTCTCACTCTTGCTCAGGCTAGTCTCCAACTCCTGAGCTCAAGTGGTCCACTCCCCAGAGTTGCTAGGATTATAGGCATGAGCCTCAACTCCCCAGAGTTGCTAGGATTATAGGCATGAGCCACCATGCCGGGTCTCTTATTTGACTATTAAGCATACTTCAACACCTTGGTGGTGCCTTACCCATTGTGCATCGGCCCACTGCCCACACCTTCTGTCGACAGACAGATGTAGCTTCTATTTTTCTGTCAACTAATTTTCATAATAAAAGTAATTATAGTCCCTTATATACTATCATGTTTTTAATACCAGCATGGCTTCTACAACATCTTAAAAGAAAACAGAATGCAAAAACATAGAAAAATTATAGATGAAGAAATACTACTCAATGAAAAGTAGACAGATGACTGCTTTTTTGTCAAAACAAATAGTAAAGTACTGTGCTTAATTTGTAGGAAAATTGTGCAAATTTGAAAAGGCAATATATGCAAAAACATGCTGCCAAATTTAATACACAGGAAGAACTATGTTACAAGGAAAAAAGAGTAGAAATAGAAAAGTCTATCTTCTCAACCAAAACTTTTTTAAAGGAGTAACCACTCAGATTCTATTGTAAAAGCTAGTTATGTGGTAGCACATTTAACAGCAAAAAAATCAAAACCATTTATTGAGCGAGAGCTTATCTTAAGCAATGTACGAAAAGCATAGCAGACAGAATTTGCCCTGAAAAAAGGAGGGATATTTCTAAAATCAGATTGTCTCACTAGACTGTAGGCAAACAAATTAAAGAAATCAGAAAATCAAAAGAAACTTGGAGAACAAAGCTAATTTTTTTTTTTTTTGAGACACAGTCTCACTTTGTCACCCTTGGTAGAGTGCCCTGGTATCCTAGCTCACAGCAATCTCAAACTCTTAGGCTCAATCTCTTGCCTCAGCCTCCCAAGTAGCTGGGACTACAGCCACAGGCCACAACACCCAGCTAGTTTTAGAGAATGGGTCTTGCTCTAGCTCAGGCTGGTCTCAAACCTGTGAGCTCAGGCTATCCACCCACCTTTGCCTCCCAGAGTAGTAAGATTACAGGCATAAGCCACCACGCTCAGCCTCAAAGCTGCTAATTTTAAATTTTATGTTTCAGCGATGGATGACAGCAGTGATGCTACCAATATAGCTCAACTTGACGTTTTGATTAGAAGTATTGATGACAAATATAATGTCACTGACAAAATGGCTTCTTTAGTGTCATTAAAAGACACAATTAAATCAAGATTTAAGGAAACAGCAAAGAAAAAAAATGTTAAAGCAGCACTCTTTGTTCACTGTCAACATATCTGGTATAGTTACTGATGGTGCCCCAGGGATGGTAGATAAAAGAGAGGGACTTGTAAAATTAATAGACGACAATGGAATTGCCACCCAAAACTCACTTTTGATGAAATATAATGGCACAGTACATCAACAAAACTGATGTGTAAAAGCTTTAAAAATAGATAGCATCATGCAAATCATCAAGACTGAATTTCATGAGGGCCACGGGATTGAATCGTTGCCAATCTGGAAATTCCTTAAAAGTACTGTGCTGACTGACTATGGCAAAATCATTTACTTTTTGGAAGTAAGGCAGCAATGCCAAGGCCAAATGCTGAAAAGATTTTATGACTTGACAACATGTTATCAACTCATTTATGGTATTAAAAACAAATTTGCACCAGAACTTAATGATAAAACTGCTTTACAGATTTACCATTTTTCTTTTTTGTTGTTGTTGTTATTGCAGTTTTTGTTTTTATTTTTGGCTGGGGTTGGGTTTGAATCCACCATCTCTGGTATATGGGGCCAGTGCCCTACTCCTTCAGCCACAGGTGCCATCCAGATTTACCATATTTATTGGATTTAACTGCTCATATAAAAAAGGTAAATGTGAAGGCTGCACCTGTGGCTCAGTGGGTAGGGCACCGGCTCCACATACCGAGGGTGATGGGTTCAAACCCAGCCTCAGCTGAACTGCAACCAAAAAATAGCCGGGTGTTGTGGCAGGTGCCTGTAGTCCCAGCTACTCAGGAGGCTGAGGCAAGAGAATCACCTAAGCCCAGGAGTTGGAGGTTGCTGTGAGCTGTGTGACGCCACGGCACTCTACCAAGGGCGATAAAGTGAAACTCTGCCTCTACAAAAAATAATAATAAATAAATAGTTTAAAAAAAAAAAAGGTAAATGTGTGCCTTCAAGGTGAAACATAACTTATCAATACAATGGGTTTTTTTGTTTGTTTGTTTTGTTTCTTTGAGACAGAGTCTCACTCTGTCACCCTCGGTAGAGCGCTGTGGCATCACAGCTCACAGCAACCTCAAACTCTTAGGCTTAAGCGATTATCTTGCCTCAGCCTCCCAAGTAGCTGGGACTACAGGCACCCACCCACAGCACCCGACTAATTTTTGGTTGTAGTTGTCATTGTTGTTTAGCTGGCCCGGGCTGTGCTCGAACCCATGAAGCTGGTGTATGTGGCTGGCACCACAAACACTGTGCTACAGGTGCCAAGCCAAATGCTTGAATCCATAACAGTGCTGCAGATGAAACTGAAATTATAGCAAACTCAAATTAAGGCAAAGAATTTCATTCACTTTGACAAGTTAGCTATTGGCTAAACATGGTCCTGTAAACAGTGAAAGAATATGTAACCCTGCACTTCAATTTGATGTAAGAATTTAAAACAGATTTCAACATTTCCAAGAAAATAATCAATATGTAGGTCTATTTTTAGTCAACATAAATATGTTGCCTGCCAGTTTTCAAATGAAATGCATAGAGCTGCATTCTGACATTGGACTTAAGGAAAAAATTAATCACGTCTCTTTACTGGACTTTAGAGGTCGTATCTTCCCAGGGACAAATAATCCCTCACCTCACAATCACATCTTGAATTCATGTTATCACTTTTTGACAACTTCTAAATTTACAATTAACTATTTAAGAATGAAGTACATTAAGAGTAAAATTAGAAGCAAAATATCTGATAGGCATCTTGACAACTCATGGAGAATTACAACTTCCATCAAACCAGATACTGATGCATTAGTTTCTCAAATACAATACCAAATACACCACTAGTTTTATGCTGCTCACATTTATAATAAAAAATATAAATCAGGGGGGCGCCTGTGGCTCAAAGGAGTAAGAAGCCACCCCCGTATGCCGGAGGTGGCCCCGGCCAAAAAAACTGCAAAAAAAATGAAAGTTGGACCAGTGCCTGTGGCTCAGTGGGTAGGGTGCTGGCCCCATATGCCAGAGGTGGTGGGTTCAAACCCAGCCCCAGCCAAAAATATATATATATATACAGCAAAAACAAATATACTCTATTACTTAGATATGTATATCTTCTATATTAGTGATTGCAACCTGTTTGATGACTTTAAAATTCTCTGGGCAGCGCTTGTGGCTCAGTGAGTAGGGTGCCAGCCCCAAATACCAAGGGTGGCGGGTTCAAACCTGGCCCAGCCAAACTGCAACAAAAAATAGCCGGGCATTGTGGTAGGCGCCGGTAGTCCCAGCTACTCAGGAGGCTGGGGCAAGAGAATCACCTAAGCCCAAGAGCTGAAGATGCTATGAGCTGTGATGCCACAGCACTCTACCCAGGGTGACAAAGTGAGACTCTGTCTCTAAAAACCATCAATCAATTTGATGTAAGAATTTAAATTTAATCAATAAAATAAAATTCTCTGAACAGGCTGCTGTATTCTTACCAGGGGTCCTCAAACTTTTTAAACAGGAGGCCAATTCACCGTCCCTCAGACCGTTGGAAGGCCGGACTGCAGGCTGCGGGACGAGTCGGCTGCTAAGCAGGACAGGCAGCGGCAGCCAAAATCACCCGGCGGGCCGGATAAATATCCTAGGTGGGCCGTAGTTTGAGGACGCCTGCTTCAGACTATTATGTTAGGACTTTATTAAATACTTATCTGTAGTGGCACATATCACCAAAAAAAAATTATGCATGGACTTATTTTTAATCATAAGCACTTGTTAGTATTTGTACATATGTGTGACCCAAGACAACTAGACAAAAGGTTGGACACCGCTGCTCAAACCGACCCTTGAGTAGCTGGAAATATAGATACATCCCACTGTACCAACCAGAAAGTTTTGTTTTGTTTTGTTTTGTAGAGACAGAGTCTCACTTTTTCGCCCTTGGTAGAGTGCAGCGGAGTTCGCTCCAGCAACCTCCAACTCCTGGGCTTAGGCGATTCTTCTGCCTCAGCCTCCCAAGTAGCTGGGACTACAGGCGCCCGCCACAACGCCCAGCTATTTTCTGCTGCAGTTTGGCTGGGGCTGGGTTTGAACCCGTCACCCTCGGTATATGGGGCTAGCACCCTACTCACTGAGCCACAGGCGCCTTCCCCAACCTGCAAGTTTTAAAGGTAACTATTTTTTTTTTTTTTTTTGGAGACAGAGCCTCAAGCTATCCCCCTGGGTAGAGTGCCATGGCATCACAGCTCATAGCAACCTCCAACTCCTGGGCTCAAGTAAGTCTCCTGCCTCAGCCTCCCAAGTAGCTGGGACCACAGGCGCCCGCCACAACGCCTGGCCATTTTTTGGTTGCAGCCATCATTGTTGTTTGGCGGGCCCGGGCTGGGGATTCGAACCCACCACCTTAGGTGTATGTGGCTGGCGCCTTAGCCGCTTGAGCCACAGGCGCCGAGCCTAAAGGTAACTATTCTAATAGTCTTCAAAAAGGCCCCACACTCTAAGTAGATTTTTTATGTATTCATACATTATTTTCTGATTATAATGTATTAAACATAATGAAGAGTTCCAGAACTACTTCACTAACATGCAGTAGGTTGAGGACCACAATATCCCAGATCACCTATGAGCCATGCCTGGTGGTAGTTTGTTTTCCTGAAGACCCAATATAGCACTGGGTATAGGATCCACTCCTATACCTTAGTTGTTATGCATAAAATAAACATAAATGCTACACAATTTAAATTCTCTCTATACTTGAATTTTATTCTTATAATTAACACTAAAGTTAATCTTATGGTTTCATGAACATCTCATAATAATAAAATACTGATAATTATGGTTCCATGAAAAATATATACGCTCCGAAGAAAAGATATAAAAATGTTATTGATTGATTGATTGATTATTAAGACAGGGTCTTGCTATATTACCCAGACTGGTCTAGAACTCCTGGGCTCAAGGGAATTTCTCACCTCAGCCTCCCCAGTAGTTGGGATTAGAGGTCCAAGCCACCCAGCTCAGGAGTCTCACTCTATAGAGTGCCATGGCATCATAGCTCATAGCAACCTCAAACTCCTAGGCTCGAGCAATCCTCTTGCCTCAGTTTTTCTATTTTTAGTAAAGACAGGGTCTCGCTTTAGCGCAGGCTGCTCTCCAACTCCTGAACTCAGGCAATCCACCTATCTCGGCCTCTCAGAGTGCTAGAATTACAGTCATGAGCCAACACACCCAGCCCCAGAAACTACTTTAAAAAGTAAATTTAATTGTTTTCCTTTAGACATCCCTTAATGTCTTTCTCTAGACTTAAATAAAGGAAAAAATGTTGTTATTAATGAGAATATTAGTTAGAAGCTAAACAGTTATCTATTATTCCCTCAAATCAGTTTAAATTCAATTCAAATGATACCTCTTCAAAGAGCTGCTCTGCTCAATTCAAACATTCACCCCCAACAACCTCTTTTTATTTCTTCTCAGAAACTTATCAGTATGTAAAATTATCAGGTTTACCAACTATATATTTTCCTCCATCCAATTACATAGGATTCTCATCTGCCCTCTTCACCATCATATCCTCAATAACTAGAATAGAAACTAGCACAGAGCAGGTGGTCAGTGTTACGGACTGAGTAACTGAACACTGGAAAAAGATCTTCAGTGTTCTAACTTTCAAAAACAAGTATCTCCTATCCCCTTAAATACAGTTCCTTCAGAACAAAGAAGACTTAAAAGTGGCAGGAACCATCAGTTCCTCTATAAGCTCCTGGACTTAAATGAGAAATCTGTTTACCTGTTTCTGGATGATTTGACTAATCTCTTGCCTACAGATTTATAGCAACTACCAAGCCCATGCAGCAAAATAGAAAAATTTCCAGTCTCATTTTTCCTATGCCAATATAGGGACAAAACAAATCTAAAACACACCAAAGCCAAAGAGAAAAGATCAGTCATTTTGAATACTCTTTAAGCGACTCTTTGTAAAAGAAGTCTTAATACTTACGGAATGCTTTGTCTATTCTCCATCCATTTGTTTTCTCCTCACGTTTAAATTTATTCTGTTAACAACAACAAAAAAAACTTATAGTAATTCTCTCCAATTAAACAAGATTTTCTTAAACATTAAAATGAAACTCTTGGCTCAGCACCCCATAGCTCAGTAGTTAGGGCACCAGTCACACGTACCAGGGCTGGTAGGTTCGAACTCAGGCGGGACCTGCTAAACAACAATAATGACAACAACAACAACAACAAACAGCCAGGAGTTGTGGGGAGCACCTGTAGTCCCAGTTACTTGGGAGGCTAAGGCAAGAGAATCACTTAAGCCCAAGAGTTTGAGGTTGCTGTGAGCTATGATGCCACTGCACTCTACCAAGGGCGAAAAACTGAGACGCTGTCTCAAAAAAATAAATAAATAAAATATACAGATGGTGGGTGGCACCTGTGGCTCAGTGAGTAAGGCACTGGCCCCATATCCTGAGGGTGAGGGGTTTGAACTAGGCCCCACCCAAACTGCAACAAGAAAAAATAGCTAGGCATTGTGGCAGGTGTCTGTAGTCCCAGCTACTCGGGAGGCTGAGGCAAGAATCACCTAAGCCCAAGAGCTGGAGGTTGCTGTGAGCTGTGACACCACAGCACTCTACCGAGGGCGATAAAATAAGACTCTGTCTCTAAAAAAAATAAAAAGTAAAAAAAAATAAACAGATGGAAAAACTTCATTATAAGGTCATTAGGAAGTTAGAGGGCATAAGTTTGTGTCTAAAATGTCTAATGATGCATTCAATCTTAAGAGAAGGAACAGTCAGCCAATCTCTTGCTGATCAGTGATCTACAAGCTTTTACTAAAAACATAAAATAAAACATTTTCAAACTTTCAAAACTGAAACACAGGAAAAAAGAATGGGAAAAAGTGGACAGAGCTTTAGTAAGCTGTAGTACAGTGTCACATAGTAAACCATCTAAGTGGGATCCCAGAAGGAGAGAATAAAAAGCACAAGAAATAGTAAAAGAAATAATGATTTCAAATTTCCCAATAGAATGAAAAATGATCTGAAAATCTAAGAAACTCAACAAACCCAAAGATGAGGCATATCATCATCATCATCATCATACTGCTAAACACGTAAGAAAAAGTATCTGGAAAACAGCCAGAGAAAAACAATCCATCATATACACGTATAGAGAGAAAAATGATATGAATCATGGCTGCCCACTATACATCTGAAACACTGGAGAAAAAGAGAAAAAAAAATGACATCTTTAAAAGATGAAAAGAGGGCTCGGCACCTGTGGCTCAAGCGGCTAAGGCGCCAGGCACATACACCTAAGGTGGCAGGTTCGAATCCAGCCCGGGCCTGCCAAACAACAATAATGGCTGCAACCAAAAAATAGCCGGGCGTTGTGGCGGGCACCTGTGGTCCCAGCTACTTGGGAGGCTGAGACAGGAGACTTTCTTGAGCCCAGGAGTTGGAGGTTGCTGTGAGCAGTGAAGCCATGGCACTCTACCCAGGGGGGACAGCTTGAGGCTCTGTCTCAAAAAATAAAAATAAAAATAAAAATAAATAAAAGATGAAAAGAGGCCAGGCCTGATAACTCAAGCCTGTAATCCTAGCACTCTGGGAGGCCAATGCAGGTGACTACTTGAGCTCAGGAGCTCAAGACTAGACTGAGCAAGAGTGTCACCCCGTCTCTACTAAAAATAGAAAAACTAGTTGGGCCTCATGGTAGACACCCATAGTCCCAGATACTCACAAGGCTGAGGCAAGAAGATTGCTTAAACCCAGGAGTTTGAAGTTGTAAGCTATGACACCACAGCACTCTAGCCTGGGGCAAGTAACAGAGTGAGACTCTATCCGCCTACTCCCACAAAAAAGATGAAAAAAAAAAATTGTCAAACCAGATCATTCTGCATGCACCTAAATATCAGTTACCCTTCAAAAACAATGCTGAAATAAGGACAGTCAGATAAATGAAAGCTGAGAAAATTTTTCAACAGTAGATTTGTTGTTCAGATGGATAGGTATGAATGAAAAGCACCAGAAAGGACACTCTGCCCAAAGACCTGCTGGAACCACGCTAAACCTTTAAGAGAAGAGACTAAATGATTTTTGACAGAAGTCAGTCTACTCAGATCATCAGAGAACTCCAACCCTAGACAAGCAACTTCTAGCCTTCACAGAATTTTAACATTTTCTTTTCCTTTAACAAAGATCAACATTACAAAATGAATATAAATATAAATAGTTCCTTATCTCTTGCAGAAACACAAGTATTGCATTATACTGTACGATGCCCCTTATGTAATGTCCCACACAATCCATACCTAGCTACGGTTCTAGGTGTATAAGGCTTATCTTTCCTAATGACTCCCCTTTTACTTTATTTTTTTGAGGGGAGAGACATAATATCTCACTATGTCACCCTCAGTGGAGTATGGTGGCGTCACAGCTCACAGCAACCTCAAACTCTTAGGCTTAAGCGATTCTCTTGCCTCAGCCACCCAAGTAGCTGGTACCATACGCACCCGCCACAACACCCAGCTATTTTTTGGATGTAGTTGTCATCATTGTTTGGCAGGCCCAGACTGGGTTCAAACCCGCCATCTCCGGTGTATGTGGCTAGCTTCTGAGATACAGGCGCCAAGGAGAGGTTCCCTTTTATTAATGAAATGAACAAGATGGAGAAGAGAAAAAAAGAAGAGAGCCCACAGTAGGGTAAAGATCTCACCACAATTAAGAAAGCATATGGCAACAGAGTATAATAGTATTCAAATGCACTCCAATCCAGGAAACTTCTATAAAGTTCTTCAACAAAGAAATTAAAGAATGTCTAGATGTGATGGCTCACGCCTGTAATCCTAGCACTCTGAGAGGCCGCGGCAGGTGGATCTAGCTCAGGAATTCAAGACCAGACTGAGCAATACAGAGACCCTGTCTCTACTAAAAATAGAAAAACCCAGCCAGGCATGAGGGCAGATACCTGTAGTCCCAGCTACTTCGGAGGCTGAGGCAAGAGGATGGCTTGAGCCCAACGGTTTGAGGTTGCTGTAAGCTATGAAGATACCATGGCACTCTATACCAGGGTGACAAGAGTAAAACTGTGACTCAAAAAAAAAAAAAAAGAAAAGAAAAACAGAGAAAGCTCATCCTCTCAGGTAACTACAGCTGCAAGTGACATCAGTTTTGCTAATAGTACCACTGGTTGTTCCCAGTGTTAAGGTGGCCTAGGAAAGTAATAGTTAAATTAGATAATGAAAACTATGTAATTCAGAATTATTCTTTTTCTGCTTCTGTAGAAAATTCTGAAATATATTTGATGGTCAAGAAGGTATGTTTAGGCTCGGCGCCTGTGGCTCAAGCAGCTAAGGCGCCAGCCACATACACCTAAGGTGGCGGGTTCGAATCCAGCCCGGGCC